ATGAGGAAGCACTTATTCTACTGAGCCATCTCCCTGACCCCCAAAACTTTATTGGATAGATGGATGATAGATAAATAAATGAATATATAGCAGGATGAAACTGTGGCCAAAATAAATGAGTAAATAGATGAAAGAGTGCTCAGCACTAGTTATAATGATATAAAGAAAGAGTAATAATAACTTCAGGTTGGCAGGTAATTGTGGAAAACATGTTTATTTTTTTTCTTCTAAAAATATGTCCAGTCAGTAAAAGATCACACACATATAAAAATGTCCCAAGTACAATCATTAGCATTATGTGATAGAGGAATAGTTGTTTCAACTTTTCCCTCTGGATAAGATGGCACAGTGGATGGTCACATTTGGTTTGGTTTACAAACAGTAGCAAGAGTCAGTGACCAGTTGGCCCAACTTCTCAGAATGTAGAGCTTTGTAAAAATGGAAAGGTCCTTGGCAAACTGGGATGGCTGGTTATGCAAGAAAACGAGTGGCATCAGCACACTGGACACAGCTTGGCATTTTAGGTAGAGCCCACAGACATTTTTAAAGTTCCCTAGCATCTCTTTTTCCCTCAGCTCCAAAGCAAAAATACTGAATGTTATTACAGAGAGTGTTACTCTATTCAGAGTTTCCCCAGTGGGTTTCATGTAATATGAATTTGATCCATATGCCAAACCTGGAGGTAGAACAATTCTAACTTAATTTGCAAGTGTGAAGCATTAGCTTCAGGGCTCTTGGATCCCAAAGACTACAGGGGAAGAGCAAAGACTCAAGTTCATATCTCCTTTTCTGCTCTAGACCTCCTACCTGGTTCCTTCTATAAGTAGTAAGAATTACATAGGGAAAGAAAGCACCCTGGGGCCAAGTTCTGACTGATTTTCTCATTTGGAAAAAATTAAGATGAGTAAATGAAGGAAAGAGTACTCAACACTAATTATAATGATATAAAGAAAGAGTAATAATAACTTCAGGTTGGCAGGTAATTGTGGAAACCATGTTTATTTTTTCTTCTAAAAATATGTCCAGTCAGTAAAAGATCACACACGTATAAAAATGTCATTGTTTTTCCTGGTCTGTTTCTATCCCCTCTGCATCTATCTACAAAGTGGATGCAGAGTACCCACTGCTGCCTGGTGCTGGCCTCATATGGCAGAGGCAGCACAGGAGATGCTGCATATGGCCTTTAGCATGATGTTCCAAGTGACTCCCTACGTCTGGCTTTTCCAGGGAGTGGTAAGATGGCAAAGCTCAGCTTGTTACTGGCCACCTTGATTGTTGAGCTCAGTTGGGGCATCTTTGCTGAGGTATCTTTACTCAAATATTTGTCACACTTTCTGCCCAATCTAGAGGCACTGATGTAAGGAGTGGAGGGTTCAGGAACTTCCTGAGACTCAAAAAAGACTAAGAGTAGGTTATTACTGCCCACCACAGACCTCCTTTAGAATTTTATATACTGTCATCCTTTAGTCTAAAACTGTTTTGAGCTCTTGCACAGTTTTGGTAAGGTAGGGATATGAAGTGGTTTTTTCCTTATGGCATCAGACTTTCCAGCACTCTCCTTAATTTAACTGAAGCATGGACAGTGTGATCCAGGTGGCAGTACTATAACTTGGGATGAGCTAAATGAGTGTGGGGCTGACAGTAGCCCAACCCCTTAGGCGGTCACTGCTTGGGCTGAGTCACTCTTATAGGGGTCTATTCTGCATCTGTCTGTGCTAATATCTCCAGAACTTTGAGTTTTCCTGTTTTTGAACTGAATTATGATGGGAAAATTTTTATTTTAAAATAAATAATCACTTTAAAGAGTTCTTATAATCCCTTGGATGATTCCTTGTATGGTGAGACCTATGGTACAACAGGGGTCTCAGGTGTACATGCTTCCTTGAGCTTGTGTATTCTTCCAGCCTCTTACACTAGCTATGACTACAGCCCTCCCAACTGTCCACGGCACTGAATTCAAATCTAGTTTTCATATGTAGATGTGAGTTTTCTTTGGCTCAGGATGAAAAGCAGACCCAACTCTCTGTGCTGGGAGGGATGTTGACCCCAGCTTATCCATCACTGCAGTTCTCCTGAGATGAAGCCTTCTTGTGCAGGTTTCTGAAACTTGAGCTCCTGGCCCCAAAGGCTGAAGTGATGGTGTGACAAGCCCAGCAGCTTCCTTAGATATTGCCTGGGTTGACACGTTTCCTGGAATCTTATCACTAGTCCCATTGTGTTGCTGGCAATAGCTATCTAGAAAGTGAGGAGAATGAGCTTGGCTAAAACATTTAAAAATTCAACAGAAACAAAGTCTCATTATAAAAATTCTGTTTGCCAGATGTGCTGCCTGGTATCAAAAGACGAACCAGAGGTCAACTGGATTTTCAGTCTTTCTTTTGTCTGTCTGTCTGTCTGTCTGTCTGTCTGTCTGTGTCAAATTCCTTTGGAGCCAGTACTTCCTTTTAGGAAATGAAATCTGATGAAGAGGGAAGAGCAAGACTAGCAAGCTCTTTGCTCTGTGGAGAGGGAGGATCCCGGGTTGTGTGGGTCCATGATTGAGTGGCCTTTTCTAAGTGTGCAGATTGCTGCAGAGCCCTCATATGGTCAGTGAACTCTGGGACCGGCGATGGCTGCTTCTGCTCAAGGGCTTTCGCACGTCATTCTGACCCCTTGAGTGGGCTCCAGGAACCAGTGTCCTACTGGGCTCCAGGAGGTGCTGTCCCGATGACGGTCTAGCTGAGGGCCCCCCCAAGCACAGGTCCTCCCTCTTGCACTCTCTGCTGCCTCTCTGTTTGCGGAGCATCCAGTCTTCTGTATGTCTCCACTTTGGGGGGCTGGAGCTCTTTGGGGTGCTGGTTCTGAAGTCCTGCGGTGGGATAGGAGGTGCTGGGTGGGAGGCAGGCTGAGATACTTCCGCAGCAGGGCCAGGCCTCTGCTTGCTTCTCCAGCTCTGGATTTCCAGGTTTCTTTTATCCACAGGCAGTTTGTCAATTTTCTCAGCTTTTGAGATCAGAGACTTTCCATAAGTCCCTTGGACAGACAGGAAAAAGTACCTGATAGAAAACAAAAAGACAAAAATATGTTTTGTTTCTTTGTTAACTTCTTGAATTTCAGCATTAAATGGGGCCTTAGAATACAATTCCCCAAGTAGCGCAAGATTAGATCTGTTATACTCCCAACTGATGCCTAACAAATCTAAGCCTGGGGGCTTGTGGCATTGAAAAGCATAACAATAACCAACTATCACTGTTTATTGAAAAAAAATCTTCAATGTTTATTCAACATCAGGATGAATATTATCATTCTTCAATGTTTATTCAACATCAGAGAATGAATATTATCATTCTCTGTATTGTTAACTCATGCTTCCAACAATTCGAGTGGTTGGTACAGTCCCAGGTTACATTTCCATCAATAATAGACCACATATATGATGCCGGTTCTATAAGATGATGTCACCTACAGACGCAGCCAGCTTATTTTACGCCTGTGCACTCTGTGGGGTTTGTGCTGTGATGAAAGTGCCCAGGGATGCACTTCTGTGCCCAGGTAAGCAATGCATAGCTATCCATCCTCATCTATGTACAGATGCTGGAAGTTAAGGTGCGGGGAGATTCAGTGATTCGTCCAGAGCCACAGAGTGCAGGGCTGTGGTTGGAACAAAATGCCCTGGATCCAGAGGCTTGTCTGTCAAATGCTAGGGACCAGGTACACCTCTCTATTTTGGATCTACTTTCATTTTGGCCAGTTTCTTTGCTTTGTAATTGAAACCATTTGTGAAACTTAATAATTCAGTTTTGAAATAGTATTTTCCTCCCTAGGATGCACGTCCCATGTGGACTGGAAGGTGTCGTTTATTGATAGTATCTTCCAGATAAAGAAGCTAAATGCTCAAGTGGTGAGGGGAGATTCTCAGGGTCTCATTAAAAGTAAAAGATCTTCATGTTCTCTGAATCAGGGATCCTTTCCTCCCACCACGCTGCTTGCAGCCTGTGGTAGAGTCTGACACTGAGGGTCTCTATCTCTGTTTATAATCTCCATGTTGTAAATGAAGTCAGGGGAAATTGTGACAAGGGAAAGAAAGCTGCATGGCACTGGGAAGTATGTATCAGCTTGTGATAAAGCTATTCCTATACCCTATCCAGGAGTCAGTTTCTTTGTCTAAAAAGTCAGTTTCTTTGTCTAATCTGTCCCAGAGTAAAACTGAGGTATTTTCCTAAGATCACTTTAGAAAGTTTAATTTTTAAAGCCTTATAAGCAGAAAGGTTTTCACTGTTCATGGCTACCCTATAGTAGGCAATGCGGTTCTGGAGACTGCAGTAGATTCCACAAAGTTGGATAAACTTCTCATCATTCTTTCTCAACCTATTAGTGAGGTAATAGGGATCCATCTCAGAGTGTCAAGAGAGCTGATTTCTTGGATGGACACTTAACCTTACCCCCAAGCTACCAACTTTTCTTTTTCCTTCCATCAATTTCTCCAACAAATACTCATCAAGTTCCCAAAATGGGCCCTGTGCCACAGGATTAAGTTTAGAACAGGACAAATAGTTCTTACTCTCATGTAGTACATGAATATAGTTATAAGTACCAGAGTCCAGAGAGTGCAAACATCTTGTCTGGAGAACTTCTTTGGGGAAGAAGCCTTTAAGATGAAGACTGAGGTTTGTGTAGGATATACACAGGCAAAGAGGCAAGAATCAAAATGCAGGCCCAATGGTTGTATTATGGAGAGACGGGGACTATGATCCAGATGGGGTTGATAGGAGGAGAGCAGGCAAATACTGGGGGCCATGTTCTACTTTTGGGTTTTATTGTAAAGGCCTCAGGAAGCCATTGGGGGTTATAAATGGGTAACATGACCATACTTTGATACAGTGATAATGGATCATAATAAAAGACCCAATGGAAGAATATTGAGTTAATTTGGGGTGAAAGAAATAATCTATGAATGGTAGTGATGATAGAAATGGAAACAGCAGGTGGATCTGAGTTTTTAGTAGGTAGGATATTTAGAACTGGATGTCATGCAAGAGATGGGTATGAGGCAACAGAAGATGCCAAGGACAATTTCCATAAGTCTGCCTTGGCTCCGAGTGGGTAGCATTTGTTGAAAGGGAATCTGGATGAGGGGCAGATTTTGGGATGGCTGCAGTGATGGAGGAAGGGAAGGAGCAAGGAGCACCTGGGATGAGGAAAAGAAGAAAATAAAGAAGAAAGGGGAAAATATATACTGATATACACAAGATAGTTTGACTAATTGTATTATTGTTTTCTACTGGTCTATTGGAATAGTTGATGTTTAAAGTGTTTTTCTGTTTAAAAATTTTTTTGGGCCCAATTTTGCATGCTTTCTTTCTGGTATTCCAAACAACTAATTTGAAGACAACAATGCGCAATATAACAACCATTGTTTAGTGAAATTCTGTATTGTTTTTAATTTTTCTTTTTACTACCTTTTATTGTATGAAAAATAAAAAAAATTAAAAGGAATCATCAATGAAGTTACAGATGTTTCCCATCTCCTTCAGACTTCATAAGCCCCATGAAGGTGCTGAATAGGTAGTTAGAAAGGTGTGTCTGGAATTCAGAAGAGATGGCAGGGTTGGGAATCTGTGGTGAATATTCATCAGTTGCATATGACTTAAAAATCTGTGATAGTGTTTGCTGTATTTGTGAATTGAATGTAAAATGAGAAGACAAGAGAACAGATCAAGGATTAATATATATCATTCCAAGGATGTAATTCAGCAAAGAAAATAACAGAGAAGTACAACAAACAAACAAACAAACAAACAATAACAACAAACAACCCAACTAAGTGTGTAGGGTTATCAAAGCCAAGGGAATTGTTGCCTTCTACTTTACCTAAATATGAAGCTATCTTGAGTTTTAAGGCTAATATCTTATTTACTTCTGTTTTATCTATAAAATAAGTTATATCAATCTATGCTTCTAACTCAAAGGAATTTATACTGCTCTTTTATCCTGGTTGAATGAAGATTATAATTTATAAAGTAATGGTTGGAGTACTATTTTTCACAAGCTTGGTGAGTACTATTGATTGCCATTATGATAAATGGAGCTTACAACTTTAAGTGAACAAATAGTTTTCTACATCAAACATTCTGTCATGTAGATCTCTGTACACAAGTAGGAATTGTTCCAAGTCGTCCATCCTTACAACTGTTAAAATAATCCTTTCACTATGTGAGGAAATCTCTTTGCCTTTCTTAGTAAATAGAATTGAGTGAACATTCAACTTTTATTATGATAATACAGACTAAGCAAAGATTTAACCTATGCTTTATGGTAACTACCAAGTAAATATTTGCTAACTTTTCTGTGCCTTGTCCCTCCTCTGTTCAACAAGCTGTCAGGTGGAGAGCTTGTCTTTCAATATACATATGTCAACAGTCTGCACCCTTCTCAAGGATCTTCATTAAACAGCCATTTCAGCCCTGTAGACTCTGGCTTCCAATGTGTTTTCTAGTAAGTCACAGATAAGGAATATGGGGTTTACAAGTTTATTTTTCATGCCCTAAATAAGAAGCAGAATTCAGGAGATAGGTCGTTAGCTGGTAGAGATCATAAGCACGTTCAACTTCAAAAAGTGGGTAACAAAAATGTTTACCTACATATCTGATACCTTTTTTCAACCACAGCACAATCCTTGTGGCCCCTCTCAGGGTCCTTTTCCCTATGGGTAGCACTGAAGAAGGAGTATGGTGGACAGTGTCCCCTCAGGCTTTAGTCCCATGCTATCCTCTCAAGTCTCTCTGTTAGAACCAGTCAATGTCAGGCAGATTATGGACAGACTTAGATGTAAATCATCCAATGAATCACAGAATTCTTAAGAGTAGTTATATTATTCATCTGCTACTTCTTCAGCTAAGTGCAGATTAGGAGATAGGAAGCGTGCTAGGTGATCCCTCCAGAGAGGGGAGGATCTGTTCTCTCCGGGGCTGATGGTTAGAGACAGAGATGAACAGGCACTTTCTAGTGTGTGTGTATGAAGCTTGTGACAGAGATACACTCAGGTGGTGGAATTCGAGGGACAAACCTAATCAGCCCAAGGAAGGTAGGGGAAGTCGCAGAACTTCTGGAAAAGGTCATGCTTAGCATAACTTCAAAGGAGGAAGATGTTAGCAGGAGGAAGAGTGTTACAAATAGGTCAGTGTGTGAGCAGGCATGATGTGTACAGCAAACTTGGTGGTGTGGGACTTAAAACTAGAAGTAGAGAGTAGGGAGAAGAGGCAGCAACAACCTGTAGTGGCCATCTAAACAGGTGGCCACACGACAAATACTTGGAACTCAGCTACTGTTATTGGTGTTCACTGGGCGCAACACTGCCATCTTGGTGCTTTTAGATTCCAGCTCTTCATGTGAAGTCCAACTTGTGAGCTGGTTTAGAAGGAGGAATTGAAGACCAATGTAGGTTAGGCAAACAGAGAAACTTATTGAAGGAAACAAGGTTGTTGGTAGTCTTTTGCCTAATTTTGAGAAGAGAAAGTTCTGTTCAACGTTGGGATTTTCTATCAATTATACCTTTATAATGTTATGAGGCTAGATTTTCATGTTCAAAGTGGTGATACCCTGAGGAGAGAGAAAAAATGACACTTTGTCCTTGATCTCACCATTGCCAATCAAATTCACCAATTTTTCTAATTGTAGAGTTCACTGGAGGAGAGAACACAGGTCTCTGAATCTGACTTTCACTGTGATTTGCACTGAGCTATGGATATATCTTGGTTTGTCTTGGAACTTTAGGTTTCTCATGAACAAGTAGGGCTAGAGCCACATTTCCATCTAATTCTTAGCTGATGGAAAAAGATAATAAATACTGTGTGAGGGTATGCAGAAGAGCGTATGTCAAGGCAGAATCCCATGAAAAGGTGAAAACAAAGGACTTTAGGTTGGAAATGTCAGCATAGTCCATGGGTCGTCAGTGCTTTATTTAGCTAACAAACTTTTGTATGTTAGATGTGTTTTGAATAAATTTAAATATTAAAAGCCAGAGACATCATGTAAACTTTAAATTCTGAAGCTCTGGAATGCTTCATTGAGATTTCCTTATGGCAGCAATAGAAGAATCTTAGGAAGGAGCTCTTTCTTGCATTGTCTGTGCTTCATCTGCACACTGCAGTGGCTATCTTGTCCCTGTAGGCATTTGGCAAGAGACTCCCTAGCTAATACATAGATAAAGGAGCATAAAGGTTTGAAAAGGCTTCCTTGTCACAAACAAAATTTATAAGTCAGAAATGTATGAATTGTTACACCCATTTTATAAATGTTGTAATGGAGACCGTGTCAGGGTTGAGACCAGGGTCCATGTGTCTTCTTCTTACTTATTCTTTTTGCCCTGGCACTCTATCTCTGGTCAAACAGCCTCAAGGAACCTATCAAGGGTCAAATCATGATTCTGAGACTGTAAAAATTGCTTATCCCAGGGAGACCAGTAGTTGTGGAAAGGAGTTCACCAAAGTGCGCAAACCTTGGGAGAAGAGCCACGACTGGGGTGAGAAGGCACACGAGGTAGAAGGTGGGGTCTGAGAGCTGGTTTTCCATCACCCAGTAGGGGTTGGTGGGACTGTTGCAGGTGACACAGATGGCGTTGTACAGCAGGGACACCACAAAATACATCAGGAAGCTGCCCAAGAGGACCAGCCCATGAATGGTAGTCTGTGGAGAGAAAGAAGAAAATGCAGTTGAAAGTGTTAGATTAGGGGGCAGGGCAGTGGCACTACTCAGCTAACTTTATTTGAAGCATTCTTGAAATGTCACACACACACACACACACACACACACACACACACACACACAGTTTAAGAGAAGAATGTCTAATGGGTCATTATAAAGTAAACATCTATGTTGCTACAGCCTAGAACTGGAATGTCCATGTCCCAGGAGTCCCCAAATTTTTGATCTCTTCCCTGACTTTGGTAATAATGTCCACACTATCCTTATAGCTTTCACATATCCAGGTTTCCCTATATAATGTTCAAAAATAGTGTTGTGTGGTTTTTGTCTCTTTTTTTCTTTGTCAATTTTATATTTGTGCAATGAGCCCATTTCTTCCACATATGGTAGTAGTGAATTCCTGCTCAAAGCAGCAGCATGTTCTCCTGTGTGATCTTGCTTTGTCCCATCTGGTTTGTGCTTCTCTTCACTCTTGTCTTCTTGTAAATATGCTATTTTGTATAAGTTCTTCTTCTTTACTAGTGTAGAAATTACACATCCCAGTTAACTTCAGTGATAATTCAATAAGTAGCAATCTTAACTTATTATTGCTTATCGTGTATAACTTTTTCCACCCTTTTGAATGACTCAAGCTTTTAGATTACTTTAATCCTTTTTACATCTTTCCTGACTTACATGATACTGCTAGTATTTTTAAAATTTTCTTTTTTCCTTTCCTTTCTTCTTCTTTTCTCTCTCTCCCTCCCTCTTTCCCTCCCTCTCTCCCTCCCTCTCTCCCTCCTCTCCTCTCCTCTCCTCTCCTCTTCTCTCTGTCTCTCTGTCTCACTAGTGAAACCTGGCTTTGAACTGTATGTAGACCAGGTTGGCCTCAAACTTGCCAGTGATCCTCCTGTCTCAGTCACCCTAGTGCACCACCACACCCAGCCTAGGCCTATTTAATTTATTTTATTTTTTTTATGTATTCGGTACAGGGTCTCACTATGCAGCTCAGACTCATAGTGATCCTATTTTCAGCCTCCCCAGTGCTGGAATTACAGGCGTGCACCACCATGCCTGGTCTTAGTGGCCAGCTCAATATGCCTGAGGGCAGGGCTAGTGCAGCATGTGGTGCTGGGGATTGAACCCTGGTCCCTGTGCTTGCCTAAGCAGGTGCTTAGTCTGCTAAGCTATCTGGCCAGCTCATACGCCCAACTAAACCTCCTTGAGAAGGTATTGGTGTGAGATTCTGCTGGTGATACACTCCCTGATGCTTCATTTAATTTTCATGCTTCTAGAGTATTTTGATGGCTATAAATTTCTTGTTTGGTAGAATCTTGCTTCAACATAAAGATGATACTCCTATGTCTTCTGCTTCCATTATTGTGGTTTAAATTAATTTTAATGATACATTTTAGTTATACATAATGATAACCTTTATCATAGGGAATTTGTACCTGCACATGATATATACAACTCCTTTTCTCCAATCCTACCCTACTTTCAACCCCTCATTATTTACAAAATCTTTGTTTTCCTTTTTCATTGTTTTCCTTTCCTTTTTTCCCTGCCCCTCCCTAGTTCCCCGTCCCATCTGAACATTTTTTTCCTATTTCACAATATCTTATATATTTTGGTCCTTATTTACACTTTTGGGTTCTCACACCAGAGAAACAAGGCAGTACTTACAAATACGTGTCCAAATAATTTCACTAAAGAGTATGGTCTCAAGGTGTATCCATTTATCTAGAAAGGTCTCAAATGGCTGAGCAGTACTCCATGGTATGAAAAATACAACCCACATCATCTTTATCTATTCATCAGTTAATAGGTATTTGGGCTATTTCAAAATTTAGCTGCTACAAACTGTTCTGTTTCAATTCATAAACAAGAGTGTGCATATGTTGCTGTGGTAGGATGCTTTTAATTCTTTTGGGAAGATACCAAGAAGGGAAATGTTGGGTTGAGTGGAACCTCTAGTTTGAATTTTTTGAGAAATCTCCACACTGGTTCCCATAGTAGCTGCACCAGTGTGTACTCACATCAATAGTGGAGAAGGCCCAAAGGCCCCTCAGCACTGTTTTTTTTTTTTTTTTTTGATAATAGCTACTTTTTTCTAGGATGAGATGGACTCTCATTGTTGTTTTAATTTGCATCTCCTGAGTAAGCAGTGATGTTAAGGTGTTTTTCATGTATTTATTTTCTGTTTATACTTGTTCATTTGAGAAATGTCTGGTTTTTTTTTTTAGATGCCCAGTTTTGGATTGAGCCTTAAATTTGGGGAGGAAAAAACTGATTTTTTTGAGTTCTTTACATGTTCTAAATATTAGTCCTTTGCTTGAAGAAGAGCTGCCAAAAATATTTTTCCACTCTGGGTTGTCTCTTCATTCTGTTGTTGGTCTCTCTTGAGACCAACAACAGCTTTTTAATTTAATATGATCCCAGTTGTTGATTCTATGTGATAGTTCCTGAACAATCATTATTTTGTTCATAAGGTCTTTTCCTGCAACAATGTCTTCAAAGTTCTCCCTGTTGTGTCTTCCAGAAGATTAAGTGTTTGTATTTCGATTGTTAGATTTTTGATGCATTTCAATTTTAGTTTAGTGTATAATGAGAGATATGGGTCTAGTTTTAATCTTTGGCATGTGGAATACAAGTTTTTTCTAGCACCATTTATTAAAGCAGTTATCCTTCTTCCAGAGAAGGTTTTTGGACCCTGTGTTGAAGATTAGGTGGCTGGGTATGCTTGGAGTTGCATCTGCATTTTGTAATCTGTTTCATTGATCTGTGAGTCTGGTTTTTTTTGTAGTACAATGCAGTTTTTCTCAAAGCTTTATAGTATAATTTCTTTGTTTTGTTTCTATGAGGTATGCTGATTTTATTTTGATTGGGATTGTATTATTATTTTGGGAGCATGGCCATTCTGACTATACGGGTTCTTCTTACCCACAAACAAGGGAAATATCTCTATTTTCTGATACCCACTTTGATCTTTTTAGTAGGTTTTAATGTAGTGGTCTTTTTACTTCTTTCATTTTTTCTTTTTGTGGTACCAAGGATTGAACTCAGGACCTTGTACTTGCTGGGCAAAGCACTTACTACACTGAGCTATCTTCCTGGCCCTCTTTTGTTTTCTCTTGATGTTACTATTTCTTTAATTTCTCTTTCAGAGAATTCATTATTTGTGTACAAGAAGGCTATTGATGTTTAAGTCTTGGTGTTGTATCCAGCTATGCTGCTGAATTTGGTTATTAAGTCTAGAAGTATTCCTGTGGACCTTTAGAGTCTCCTATGCAGAATATTATGTCCTCTGCAAGCAATGAGAATTTAATGTCTTCCTTTCCTATCCTTATCCCTTTTATTACTTTCTCTTGTGTAGTCACTCTAGCTAACATTTTTACAACTCCACTGAGCAGAAGTGGTAATAGTAGGCATCTTTGTTTTGTTTCTGGTTTTAGCCTGAAAGCTTCCAGTTTTTGACCATTTAGTATGACGTTGGCTATTGATTTGTCATATATGACTTTTTATCAGATTGAGATAGATATTTTATAAAATGAATGAATTTCAGGTTTTTTAAAAAAATCGTGAATTAATTTTAGACTTTGGCAAGTGTATTTTTTGTATCTATTGAAATGATCACATGAGCTTTGTCTTTGGTTCTGTTAATGTGGTATATTAAATTTATCAATTTGCATATGTTGAATCATCCCCAAAAGTTTGGATGAATCCTACTTGGTAATTGTGTATAATTTTCTTGAGGATTTGCTGCGTTCTATTTGCCAGTTTCTTATTGATTTTTTTTTTTTTTTTGTATCTATGTTCATTAGGGATACTGGCCTGTAACTCTCTGTTTTGGTTTCATCTTTCTTGGGTGTTCTGTATTAGGGTCATGGTTCATTCAAGAAATGAATGTGGGAATATTTCCCTCCTTTCAGCATCATTAAAGAGTTTGAGAAACAGTGACATTAGACCTCCTCTCAAGTTCTTATAGAATTCAGCCATGAATCCATCAGGACCTAGACTTTTATTTACTGGTAGATTTTTATTTATATCTTCAATTTCATTGACTGATATTGGGTTATTTAGAATAATATCCTCTTGATTTAGCTTTAGTAATTCATATGTATCTAGGAACCCACCCATTTTTTCTGTGTTTTCTATTCATTAGACTACAAGTTCTTGACATAGGTATAGATGATTTGGATTTCTGCAGGATTCATTGTGGTTTCACCCATTTCATTCTTTACTGCATGAATTTGAGTCTTTTTTCCCACTTCTTTTGATAAGGTTGGCTAAAGGTTTGTCAACATCATTTCATCTTTCAAAGAACTAAGTCTTCAATTCATTGATCTGTGTATTATTTTCTTAGTCTCCATTGCATTAATTTCTGCTCTGATCTTTAGAATTTCCTCTGCCATTTGACCTTTGGGCTTGATTTGCTCTTCCTTCTTCTAAAACCATGAGGTTCAATATTAGATTATTTATTTGTACTCATTATGTTTTTCTGATGTGGGAATTTGCCCCTATAGATTCTGTCATAGGACTGTGGTGATCTTATTCCATAAGTTCCACTATGTTGACATTATTGTTTAATTGTAGAAATTCTAATTTCTTCTGTGAACCACTGAATATTCAGGAGGGTGTTATTTAACTGTTATTTGATTTCCATGAATTTATGAAGTTTTTTTGTAGTTTCTTTTGCCACTGGTTTCCAATTTAATTACACTATGATCTGGTCATATGTATTGGATAATTTCAATTCCTTTGTATTCACTTAATTATTTTCTATGAGATAATATGTGGTCTGTTTTGGAGCCCATCTTATGTGAAGCTGAGAAGAATATGTATTCTGATATTGTGCAGTGGAACACTGTAGATATCTACTAAGTCTGTCTGTTGAAAAATTTGTTTCAGTTCTGATATTTCATTGCTGGTCTTTTTTTTGGTCTGGTTTATATGCCTCTTTGTGATGGTGGGTTATTGAGGTCCCTTATTCTGATTGTCTT